AAAGCGCTGGGATTACAGCAGTGAGCCACTGTGCTGGCCATTTTTTGTATTTTTAAATTTATTTTTATACTTTTTTTTTTTTAAGAGACCAGGTCTTGCTATGTTGCCCAGGCTGGAGTGCAGTGGCTATTCACAGGTGCGATCCCACTACTGATCAGCATGGGAGTTTTGACCTGCTCTGTTTCCGATCTGGGCCAGTTCACCCCTCCTTAGGCAACCTGGTGGTCTCCCGCCCCCGGGAGGTCACCATATTGATGCCGAACTCAGTGTGGACACCTGATCGGCATAGCGCACTGCAGCCCAGAACTCCTGGGCTCAAGCGATCCTCCCACCTCAGCCTCCCGAGTAGCTGGGACTGCAGGCATGTGCCACCGCACTCTGCCATTTTTTGTATTTTAGTAGAGACAGGCTTTCACCAACGTGGCCAGGCTGGTTTTGAACTCCTGACCTCAAGTGATTTGCCCTCCTCAGCCTCCCAAAGCTCTATGATTACAGGCGTGAGCCATCGATTCCGGCCTAGTTATTTTTTATACCCTATGAGAGACAATTCCATATGCTCCTAGGATGAAATATAGACTCAAGAAATTTTTTAAATCATGTGAAATATCACAGTCTCATTCCTTGAGATGACTTAAGGGCTGCAATTGAAGCACAAATTATTAGGCTTGTTTCTTGATTTTTATTGATGAGTTAATTAACATATTTGCTGCTGTTGTTCTTTCCTGCACCAGACATACCTGAGCAGAGAGTGATCTTGCCTGGGAGCTTTTTTTTGAGACGGAGTTTCGCTCTTGTTACCCAGGCTGGAGTGCAATGGCGTGATCTCGGCTCACCGCAACCTCCGCCTCCTGGGTTCAGGCAATTCTCCTGCCTCACCCTCCTGAGTAGCTGGGATTACAGGCACGCGCCACCATGCCCAGCTGATTTTTTTTATTTTTAGTAGAGACGGGGTTTCACCATGTTGACCAGGATGGTCTAGATCGCTTGTCCTCGTGATCCACCCGCCTTGGCCTCCCAAAGTGCTGGGATTACAGGCTTGAGCCACCACGCCCTGCCGCCTGGGAGCTTTTTAAGGGTAGGATTCCTCAGCATCCATCTTTTCAGCCCTAGCTTCTAGCAGAGTGCCTGGCACTTAAGAAGTGCCTAATAAGTCATTTTTGTGGGTGTGTGGTATATAAATGGTTGATGATGAGCACAGTCTATTTTTGATCAATTTAAGAATTCCTAGAGTAGATGACATTTCTTTGGGGCTCTGAAGAATACAAGGAATAAGGGTGATAGTGGGGGGATGATTTTGTTCCAAATGTAACTTATTATGTTCTACATTCCTCAAAACTCACCTCCTTTTGTTTTCTTTATGCCAGTCTCATCCCCACTTTCTTTCTTTTTTGTTTTTGGGACAGAGTCTTGCTCTGTTGCCCAGGCCGGAGTGCAGTGGCATAATCTTGGCTAACTGCAACCTACGCCTCCCCAGTTCAAGCAGTTCTCCTGCCTCAGCCTCCTGAGTAGCTGGGATTACAGGCATGTGCCACCATGCCTGGCTAATACTTTTTGTATTTTTAGTAGAGACTGGGTTTTACCATACTGACCAGGCTGGTCTCAAACTCCTGACCTTATAATCCACCTGCCTCGGCCTCCCAAAGTGCTGGGATTACAGGCATGAGCCATCATGCCCAGCCCACCTCATCCCCACTTTCTAAAGCTGAAAACACAAGAAATAGTCCACCCTTTCCTCCCTCTTCCCTACGCTTCACAGCCAATTAACTGCCCAAACCTAAAAAGCCCTGGCAGTTCTTCCTGAGACATATTTTACCTCCATGTCCATCTCCTCTGCCATAGCCCTAGTTCTGGTCCCCATCATTTCTTCTGTAGCCGGTTGCAGCAGCCTCTTTTTGACAGGGTCTCGCTCTGCCGCCCAGGCTGGAGTGCAGTGGCTCAATCACAGCTCGCTACAGCATCTACCTCCTGGGCTCAATCAATCCTCCCAAGTAGCTGGGATTATAGGCACACACCACTGCACCCAGCTAATTTTTGTAGCGATGGGGTCTCACCATGTTCCCCAGGCTGATGTCAAAGTCCTGGACTTCAGCAATCCACCCACCTCAGCCTGCCAAAAGCCCTGAGATGACAGACATGAGCTACCACGCCCAGCCTGCAGCTGCCTCTTACCGGAGCTTTCTGATGTTGGTCTTTCTCAACTTATTAATTCTTTTTTTTTTTTGAGACAGAGTTTCACTGTTGTTACCCAGACTGGAGTGCAATGGCACGGTCTCGGCCCACCGCTACCTCCACCTCCTGGGTTCAAGCAATTCTTCTGCCTCAGCCTCCCGAGTAGCCGGGACTATAGGCACACACCACCATGCCCAGCTAATTTTTGTATTTTTAGTAGAGACGGGATTTCACCTTGTTGACCAGGATGGTCTCGATCTCTTGACCTTGTGATCCACCCGCCTTGGCCTCCCAAAGTGCTGGGATTATCGGCATGAGCCACCGCGCCCGGCCATTAATAATCATTTTAATAAAATGATGACAACTGGCCGGGCGCGGTGGCTTATGGCTGTAATCCCAGCAATTTGGGAGGTCAAGGTGAGTAGATTGCTTGAGCCCAGGAATTCGAGACCAGCCTGGGCAACCTAGTGAAACCCTATCTTTACAACAAATACAACATTCAGCTGGGCATGGTGGTGCACACCTGTAGCCCCAGCTGCTCAGGAGGCTGAGGTGGATCTCCTGAGCCCAGGAGGTGGAAGTTGCAGAAAGCCGAGCGATCTCAACACTGCCCTTCAGCCTGGGCAACAGAGTGAGGCCCTGACTAAAAAAAAATAATAAAATAAAATAAAAAAATGCCTATAATCCCAGCACTTTGAGAGGCTGAGGCGGGTGGATCACTTGGTCAAGAGATGGAGACCATCCTGGTCAACACAGTGAAACCCTGTCTTTACTAAAAATACAAAAATTAGCTGGGCATGGTGGCACAGCCTATAGTCCCAGCTACTTGGGAGGCTGAGGCAGGAGAATTGCTTGAACCCAGGAGGCGGAGGTTGCAGTGAGCCGAGATCGCACCATTGCACTCCAGCCTGGAGTAACGAGCAAAACTCCGTCTCAAAAAAAAAAAGTGATGATAGCTTTGCCACTCCTGTACTCACTGACCTCCTCATATGGGTGCCGCTGAGTCTGCTCCCAACAGCTCTTTACCCACACTTTACCCACCTTTCCAGGTTCCTGACCTACCCCTCCTGTCAGCCACCCCCAGTTCAGGCATATTCACCTCTCAACCATTCCCTGAACACAGCTTACCTTTTCAGGCGCTTTGTACCAGCCATTTCTGTCAATCTGCCTGACATGATTCTCTCTCTGCCCATTGCTTCATGGTTTTGTGCCCCCATCAACTCGGTCCAGGCATCAGTGGCAAAGCCTTCCCTGAATCTCCCAGCTCTAGATGCCGAGAGCACTTAGGCTTCTCGTTTTTCTGACAAGTCCCATACATGTTTATTTACTTCTTTGTCTCTTCTACTGAGTGATAAGCCCCTTGGGAGTAACAGCTGAGTCCTATCAGTGCTGGATCCTCAACACCTGGCATGCAGTACCTATGCAAATGTTCTTTAAAATGTTCTTGGAGGAGCCAGGGGCAGTGGCTCACACCTGCAATCCCAGCACTCTGGGAGGCCGAGGCGGGCAAATCACTTGAGGTCGGGAGTTTGAGACCAGCCTGGCCAACATGGTGAAACCCTAGCTCTACCAAGAATACAAAAATGATCCAGGTGTGATGGTGGGCACCTGTAATCTCAGCTACTTGGGAGGCTGAGGCAGGAGATGTGTTTGAACCAGGGAGGTGGAGGTTGCAGTGAGCCGAGATTGCACCCTGCACTCCAGCCTGGGCAACAAGAGCAAGACTCTGTCTCAAAACAAACAAAGTGTTTTTGGAGGACTAGAGGTTTTTTCCAAGCTCTAAATGGATTCTAGCATCACATTTAAAGATGGAGAAACAAAGATCAGGGCGCTGGGGAGGAAGCTGACTTGGCTGGAGATGATACACTGGAGTGTACATTGGGGTGGGCAAAGCAGGTGTGGATATTCACCTTGTGAAATGGAGGGACAGGCTCCAGAAAGTTCAGGGACTTGCCTGAGGCCACATGGTGAGGAAGCGTCAAGGTTAAAACTCAGACCCCATTTTCCTACCTCCCACCGTACAGTCTTCAGAACTTTTTAAAGGATAAGACCTAAATGAGAGAATGGACTTCCGTAGTGCACGCTACGTGCTGGGCACCATTGCAGTTTACAGATTTTAACTTATTTAATCATTCTAATAATGCTGTGTGGTAGGTACTACTTTTCACTCTCATTTTATAAATGAGGAAACTGAAGTACAGAGATGTTGAATAACTTGTCCAAGGTCACAGATAAGAAATAGCACTGGGCACAGTGGTTCATGCCTGTAATCCCAGCATTTTGGGAGGCTGAGGTGGGAGAATCACTTGAGACCAGGAATTCAAAATCAGCCTGGGTTACATAGTGAGACTCTCTCTATAGAAAAAAAAAAATTAGCCAGGCGTGGTGGCACACACCTGTAGTCGCAGCTACTTGGGAGGCTGAGGTGGGAGGATTGCTAGAGCCCAGGAGATGGAGGCTGCAGTGAGCCAAGATCATGCCGCTGAACTCCAGCCTGGGCAACAGAGTGAGACCCTTTCTCAAAAAAAAGAAAAAAGAAATAGGATTTGAATCCAGGTTAGACTAGGTCCAGAGGTCATGCTCATAAATCCAAGGCTGTTCTGGCTCTCCATGCAAATTGTTTAATATCAGAATTATGGTTATAATGTTTCCTTTCTCCCTCTCTGTTAAATAAAATAATAACACCTTTCCAGGGGATGAGCATCTTTCCAACAGATTTCTCATCCCTGCACTTGTCCTCCCCCAGACTCTCTTCCCACTGCTCTGCATGCTTTTTGTGCTCTTCTCTGCACCCTCTGCCAGGATTCTCACCTGCCATTTCTTCCTCACAGAAGTGCATCAGCAGGGGGGAGCTCCAGGTGTCTCTGTCATATCAGCCTGTGGCACAGAGAATGACAGTGGTGGTCCTCAAAGCCAGGCACTTGCCGAAGATGGATATCACCGGTCTCTCAGGTAGCAGCTATTTACTTCAACCTATTTCTTACTGTCTGAACCACCCCCCACTCGTTGCCTGTGGCCCAGATAGACCTCCACACTTCAAGATCCTCACCTCTTTTAATCTGCTTCTCTTTCTGTTGACATTCTCTTCCTGATGAATGTCCATGTCCAGTAGACTTCCTAGCTTGGAAGTTTCTTCAGTTGAACAAATGGGGTCTTTACATTTGGCAAGGTATACTAAATAATATGCATGCCAGGTGCTAAGTGAAACTTCTCAAAAAGGCTGCAGGCATTTATCGCTGTGCCCTTTAAAATACTCTTGGTACCATGGGATTTCTTCAGATCTGACTTGAGAAAGTTGGTCTGTTCTAATCTTGCTGGGTTTCCTTGGTCTCTCATCCAGGCAGGCAGACTCACATACAATCAGTGTGCAATCCCTGAAGAACACACGGGGTGGTCATCAAAGATACGCACAACAGAGCTCCCCCTTTCCAACATGAAATTACCGTTACCTAAGGGAGGACTGTGTCATAGGCCTCTCTCCCTTTTTCTTATCTCCTTGGGGGCCCCAGATCCTTACGTCAAGGTGAACGTCTACTACGGCAGAAAGCGCATCGCCAAGAAGAAAACCCACGTGAAGAAGTGCACTTTGAACCCCGTCTTCAACGAATCTTTCATCTATGACATCCCCACTGACCTCCTGCCTGATATCAGCATCGAGTTCCTCGTCATCGACTTCGATCGCACTACTAAGAACGAGGTGGTGGGGAGGCTGATCCTGGGGGCACACAGTGTCACGGCCAGTGGTGCGGAACACTGGAGAGAGGTCTGCGAGAGCCCCCGCAAGCCTGTGGCCAAGTGGCACAGTCTGAGCGAGTACTAATCCTGTTCTTCTCTCCTCTAACCGCCCCCCTGGGGCCAGGCTGGGGAGGGATGTGGCGGGGAAAGAGATGACAGAGAAGTGGACTCAAAACCTCATTTTAGTTGTAGAGGAAAATTTCTTACAAAACACACTCCACAAAGAACACCCTACATGACCACAGCTGCAGATCAGTTCTTAGCAATGATGGCTTTTTCTCCTCTGCAAGGCATAAGGCATCAGAATTTCTTTGTTTGTTTGTTTCTTTCTTTCTTTCTTTTGAGATGGAGTTTCGCTCTTGTTGCCCAGGCTGCAGTGCAATGGCACAATCTTGGCTCACTGAAACCTCCACCTCCTGGGTTCAAGTGATTCTCCTGCCTCAGCCTCCCAAGTAGCTGGGACTACAGGCACCCGACACCACGCCTGGCTAATTTTTTGTATTTTTAGTAGAGATGGGTTTTCATCATATTGGCCAGGCTAGTCTTGAACTCCAGACCTCAGGTGATCCACCTGCCTCAGCCTCCCAGAGGACTGGGATTACAGGTGTGAGCCACCGCACCTGGCCTCTTTTTTTTTTGATGGGGACAAAAGAGAGGGAAAGACCCCTATAAATCTTTATATAACAATGTAACCATATACTTGCATGTCTAATACAAACTGAAGAAATTAGCCTAACTGCCAATATCAAGTTGCAGATTTTAATCCATAAAAATTGTGTTTTGTGCCGAATTGTATTTGCTGATTACCTGAAATTGGCTTTTTTTTTAACTGGGCTTCTCTGGAGAATTTCTCCCACTCCCCACCTCTGCACTTATAAAACCTCATGTTTTCATCATTGCCATCTTTTGTTTTTACCTCTTATATCTCTGCTCTTTGACTGAGCTCAAGGTCTAGAGGTCTGTAATAAGCCAAGAAACAAAGGTGGGGTGAATGAGGCAAGGTTTGCAGGAGAAAGAGGAATTGAGAAATGGGGTATTTTTGCTATCAGCCCTTCTGCTATGAAGTAGTAAAGGGCAGTCTATAATTAACTAACAGACCTAACTGAAACACAGAGAATGCATCAGGCTTATGCATCCGATACGTCAGATCTTGGACTCTTATCAGACTTGACGACTTCTCTAAAAGGAGCTTTGGAGACTTCAAATTCAGCTGTAGGATAGCACCAGTGAACACATCCAGCTGATCCTAAAGGCTGTTTTCAGGTAAAAGGACAAGGAGAGGAGACAAGTGAGCACTGCTGTTCCCCTTTGCGGCTGTCTGCTGTAGTGACAGCCATTTCTTGTTTGATGGGTTGGAAGTCATCAGAGGTGTGAAGAATTACACTGGCCTTTGTTTTTCCAGAAAGGCTGACCCTAGAGATGCTTTAGTGTCTTCTCAAATAGCTTAGATGTTATAATGAAGTTAGTTTTGCTTCATAAAACAGGGGCCCTCGGAAATGATTCTTCCTCCTTAAATTTTTAAATAAAAATTTAGCTCTTAAAAAAAAAAAACAGTGTGACTGAGTGAATGAAGATAAGTTGGATTCTTACAGAGCATTCTTTTCTTCAAAACAAGCTGCATAGTTCTTGGGATTTATGTCTTGCCACACGGTAGAGGGACAGGGGAACTACAGGGTGCAATTCTTCTACTGGGCAATAGAGGTTGAGAGAGATTCAGCATCTTTCTGGGATTAGAATTCAAGTCTTCTTCTTTTTTTTTTTTTTTTTTCAAGATGGGGTTTCACCATATTGGTCAGGCGGGTCTCGACCTCCTGACCTCAGGTGATCCGCCCACCTCAGCCTCCCAAATTGCTGGGATTACAGGCGTGAGCCACCGCGCCCGGCAGAATTCAAGTCCTCTTACTCCTACTGCAGCTGTGTCTCTAATGTTGAGACTTCAGATCGCAGAGACTCCATGGGTAATTGGTAAACTTGGGGCCGCACACAGTGGCTTAGGCCTGTAATCCCAGCACTTTGGAAGGCTGAACCCAGGATCTCAAGACCAGCCTGGGGTACATGGCAAAATCCCATCTCTACCAAAAATACAAAAAATTAGCTAGGTGTGGTGGTGCATGCCTGTGGTCCCAGCTACTCAGGAGGCTGAGGTGGGAGGATCATTTGAGCCCAGAGGTAGAGGCTGCAGTGAGCCATGATCATCATACCACTGCACCCTGGCCTGGGTAACAGAGTGAGACCCTGTCTCAAAAATTGATTAATTAAAATAAAATAAAATAGCTAAACTTGGATAGGCAGTAGATATTTTTGCCCATCTGAGGAGGAACTCAGTCAAGCGGTTGCTTAACAGCTTGATCCAGGGCGTGAAAGATGAGTTGAGATTGATGTGTCCACTTTGTAGAAGCAAGAATATCACTTTGAAGCCTGCTTCGGCAAAGGGCGTTGGAAAGCTGATCTCCATGGAGATGGGGGTGCCCTTGCTTTCAGTGTTCCCTTGGCTTTTGTGGATTTAAAACCACTCTGCTCCCTCAAATCCTTTTGTTTGGTTTCAGCCCGTGTTCTTGACAATGCAGAGCAATTCTGAGCAGTCACAAAGCCTACTCTCTGTTCTTGTCCCTGCCAACCCCCAGCCCCCATAATCTGACTCACTATTTCACCATCGGCTGGGGTCACACTACTAGTCTCTGTCCTATACCCTATGAAATGTAAATACTGTATCATAAGTAGAAGAAAATAATTATTGTTTTCTAAAAATGCATTTTGAGATAGTTTAATGTAAATCTGACAGGAGCATTCTGAAGCCCCATTAGGAAAACATTTTAATGGTTCCTCTTCATCGCCTTAATGTCTAAAGATCAGAAATCGCTGAGCAAACCTGCTTTTGTTTTCTTCCCAGAAACAATGCAAAACAACACGTGGAGATAGTCTGGTCTGCCCTGCTGAGTGTGCCTCTGTAGCTCCTCCTGACAAACGTCTGGGAAAACAGCCTCACCCCACTCCTCTCTCTCCCCATTTCCTTGTAGCTTTATTCCTTGCATTCTTTGGGTCTACTGAGCAGTGGGTGCTGAGATGACAGGGGAGGAACCAGTAGTTCTGTAGCCTAGGAACTGCCTCAGTGTCTTTGCCAGAAAAAGGCGAAGAGGTGGACAGTACAGGGCTCCTCCCTCCTACCTCAGGCCTGATCCATCGTGCCCTTGACTTTGCTGTCCCAAAGTTTCTTAGCTGACTTTGCTTTTCACATCTGGTCTTTCCAGAGCTAGCTGATAGAGTGGAGGAGGAATGCCTCCTCCCGAGAGTCAGCTGAAAGAAAGACAAGAGAGTCACATCTTAGCTTTGCACAAGGCATTCGTGGTCAGGAACAGGTTAGGGAATGGTCACTTCTGATTTTCCAAGAGTCGCTCCTTTTCTGCAGATATCTTGATTCCTTTGGGAAGACAAGACTTTTTCTTAATAATCAAGGTCCCTTAATGAGTGATTCCGTCTTTGGGTTCATCTCGCTGGAGCACAGCCAAGATGGGCATGTTTATGGACAGTGCTCTAGATGCGAAAACACAACTAGTTTGTGGGACAGGGGCAGCTTGCCCAGGAGAGGGAATAACACAGGTCCCTTTTCTCAGAAGGCTTGTACTATGGCCATGACAGTGACATTGCCCTCACCATGATCCCTCTCCGAAGTGGTTGTCTTTCTTTACCTTGTGTCTTCTCTTGTAAAAATGAAATTCAAAAATAAAATTAATGTGTCAAATTTTGAAAAAAAAAAAAGAAAAAACTGAAAAAGCTAACATGACTTGTGTGAAATTGCATACTGCTGTAATGCTAACCTACAATATGTAATGCTATCTTGTATGTTGAATTTGTTAATGCACCACGCAAGTGCAAAATAAAGACTGATTCACATTAAATAGGCACAGTGATGTCAGCATGATTCTCTGGGAAGCTGGATGACTCTCAGTGAGGTTAACACTCAGACTCCAAAAGGATGTTCTAGGGCATGTTTTCCAAAGTGTGGTCCCCAGACCACTTGATTCAGAATCATCTAAGGGCACTTGTTTAAAAATGCAGATTCCGGCCGGGCGCGGTGGCTCATGCCTATAATCCCAGCACTTTGGGAGGCCGAGGCGGGTGGATCACAAGGTCAGGAGTTTGGGAGCAGCCTGACCAACATGGTAAAACCCTGTCTCTGCTAAAAATACAAAAAATTAGCCAGGCATGGAGGTGCATGCCTGTAATCCCAGCTGCTTGGGAAGCTGAGGCAGGAGAATTACTTAAACCCAAGAGGCGGATGTAGCAGTGAACCAAGATTTCGCCATTGCACTCCAGCCTAGGCAACAAGAGTGAAACTCAGTCTCAAAAAAAAAAAAAAAAAAAAAATGCAGATTCCAGGCTCCCATCCTGGATACTCTCATTTGGCAAGTGAGTTGGTTTGATCCTTGTTCTTGTCTTCCTGTTTTCCTCTTGAAATGTAATTTCTGAGACCATCACTAGAGGGAGAGATAATGGTTTTTAGTGCTGAGAATCAATCTGCCCCTTTAATTTGAAATATTTATCCCAAAAGCAATCCTGAGACTGGCCGATTCTGTTCTCTCATTCATTCATTTATTTACTGTTTTTTTTTTTTTTTTTGGTTGTTTGCTTTTTTTTTTTGAGGCAGAGTCTCAGTTCAGGGGCTCAATCTCGGGTCACTGTAACCTCCGTCTCCTGGGTTCAAGTGATTCTCATGCCTCAGCCTCCCAAGCAGCTGGGACTACAAGTGCACGCCACCAGTTTGGCTAATTTTTGTATTTTTAGTAGAGATGGGGTTTCACCATATGAAACTCTCAGCCTCAAATTATCCTCCCACCTTGACCTCCCAAAGTGCTGGGATTACAGGTATGAGCCACTGCATACTGCATGCAGCCTCATTTACTATTACTATTATTTAATTTTTTTTTTTTTTTTTTTTTGAGACGGAGTTTTGCTCTCGTTTATCCAGGCTGCAGTGCAATGGCGCAATCTTGGCTCACCACAACCTCCGCCTCCGGGGTTCAGGCAATTCTCCTGCCTCAGCCTCTTGAGTAGCTGGGATTACAGGCACGCACCACTATGCCCAGCTAATTTTTTGTATTTTTAGTAGAGACGGGGTTTCACCGTGTTGACCAGGATGGTCTCGATCTCTTGACCTCATGATCCCCCCGCCTTGGCCTCCCAAAGTGCTGGGATTACAGGCGTGAGCCACTGAGCCCGGCCTTTTTTTTTTTTTTTTTTTTTTTTTTTTTTTTTTTTTTTTTTGAGAGACTCATGCTCTGCTGCCCAGGCTGGAGTTCAGTGGCATGATCTTGGCTCACTACAACCTCTGCCCCCTGGGTTCGAGAGATTCTCCTGCCTCAGCCTCCTGAGTAGCTGGGACTACAGGCACGTGCCACCACACCCAGCTAATTTTTGTATTTTTAGTAGAGACAGGGTTTTAGCAAGTTGGCCAGGCTGGTCTCAAACTCCTGGCCTCAAGTGATCCACCTGCCTCAGCCTCCCAAAGTGCTGGGCTTACAGGTGTGAGCCACCACGCCTGGCCTATTTTAATTTAAAAATTCATTTTATTAGAGCATTTTGTACATATATATCTTGGTGAGTTTGGAGATAAATGCACCCGTGAAACTAAAGGTTGACCTTGTTTATTTTTCAGAAATTCTATTTTTCTTCCTACAAGCTGATAAGCTTTTGAATCTGTCTATAAGATTCATTGTGTAGCTGGGTGCACAATTATGAGGACACGACGGCATACTGGGTGCAGTGGATCACATCTGTAATCTCAGCACTTTGGGATACTGAAGCAGGCGGATTGTCTGAGGTCAAGAGTTCGAGAGCAGTCTGACCAACATGGTGAAAGCCCATCTCTACTAAAAACAACGAAATTAGCCAGGCATGGCGGCATGCACCTGTAATCCCAGCTACTTGGAAGGCTGAAGCAGGGGAATTGCTTGAACCAGGGAGGTGGAGGTTACAGTGACCTGAGATTACACCTCTGCACTCTAGCCTGGGCAACAGAGTGAGACTCCATCTCAAAAAAAAAAAAAAAAGAATGATCAATAGACTTTGGAGGACACAGGGGAAAGGGTGGGAGGGGGGCGAGAGATAAAAGACTACACATTGGGTACAGTGTACACTGCTCGGGTGATGGGTGCACCAAAATCTCAGAAATCACCACTAAAGAACTCATCCATGTAACCAAACACCACCTGTTCCCCAAACACCAATTTAAAAAAAAGAGAGAGAACAGTGTTTTTCTACCAAAAAAAAAAAAATTAAATTGTGTGAATTAATTGCTTATATAGTCAAAAGGTCAGTAGAAAATGGGTGATGCTTTCTTTTTTTTTTTTTGAGAAGGAGTTTTTTGTTTAAGTTCAGCTTTTTATTGAACACATTATGAAAGAGGTTTAGTCAAAAAGACCAATGCCCATGTCATCATCAGACTCCTCGGATTCTTCTTTCTTTGCTTCCACTTGCTTCTCCTGACCTGGAGCAGCAGCAGTGGAGGGGGCAGGACCTCCTGTGGGTGCAGCACCAGCTGCTGGAGCAGGTCCAACAGCCCCTACATTGCAGATGAGGCTCCCAATGTTGACATGTGCCAGGGCCTTTGCAAACGAGCCAGGCCCAAAAGATTCAACATTACACCGGCTGCTTTAATGAGGGCATCGATCTTATCCTCCGTGACAGTCACCTCATCGTCATGCAGAATGAGGGCCGAGTAGATGCAGGTGAGCTCGGAGACGGAGGCCATGGTGAGGGTGAGTATGAGGCTGGCACTGCCAGACGCCGTGCTAGTCGCCAGATGAAGTGAGGGCCTCACCCCGACTCGGCCTCCCTCGGAAGGACCAAGCACCTTGGGGGCAGCTGAGGAGGAGGAGTTTTTGCTCTTGTTGCACAGGCTGGAGTGCAGTGGCATGATCTTGGCTCATTGCAACTTCTGCCTTATGGTTCAAGTGATTCTCCTGCCTCAGCCTCTCAAGTAGCTGCGATTATAGGTGTGTGCCACCACACCCAGCTAATTTTGTATTTTTAGTAGAGATGGGGTTTCACCCTGTTGGCCAGGCTGGTCTCGAATTCCTGACCTCAGGTGATCCACCTGTCTAGGCCTCCCAAAGTGCTAGGAATATAGGTGTGAGTCACCACAACCGACCTCTTAGGATTTTATTAAAGTTGAGGGGGTAATTTTGGTTTGTCTTCCCAGCATCTAGTCTGCCAAATTTCAGCATCAAACCCCAAATTTCCTTTGTGGATCTTACTGTGTCAGTTTCAGTTCATGTGGACCAGGGATTAAAGACAGGCCTGGGCAGGGCACGGTGTCCGACGCCTGTAATCTCAGCACTTTGGTAGGCCGACGGGGTGGATCACCTGAGGTCAGGAGTTCGAGACCAACCTGACCAACTTGGTGAAACCCCATCCTCCTAAAAAAAATACAAAATTAGCTGGGTGTGGTGGTGGCCGCCTGTAATTCCCGGTACTTGGGAGGCTGAGGCAGGACAATCTCTTGAAGCCAGGAGGTGGAGATTGCAGTGAGCCAAGATCACGCCATTGGACTCCAGCCTGGGCAACAAAAGTGAAACGCCATCTCAGAAAAACAACAACAACAACACTGAGGCCTGACTAACAAAGCATAGTGTCCTCCTGGCCACAATGCCTGGCGCAGGTGCAGGCATAGGCACGTGACCTAAGCAGGCCCAATCAGAACCAGGCTTAGAGCCTTTCTTTTTATTTATTTATTTTAATTAATTTATTTTTTTTTTGAGACGGAGTTTCGCTCTTGTTACCCAGGCTGGAGCGCAATGGCGCAATCTCAGCTCACCGCAACCTCTGCCTCCAGGGTTCAGGCAATTCTCCTGCCTCAGCCTCCCAAGTAGCTGGGATTACAGGCACGCGCCACCATGCCCAGCTAATTTTTTGTATTTTTAGTAGAGACGGGGTTTCACCATGTTGACCAGGATGTTCTCTATCTCTTGACCTTGTGATCCACCCACCTCGGCCTCCCAAAGTGCTGGAATTACAGGCTTGAGCCACTGTGCCTGGCCTATTTGTTTATTTATTATTATTTTTTTTTGAGACACAATCTTGCTCTGTCGCCCAGGCTGGAGTGCAATGGCACAATCTCGGCTCACTGCAACCTCTGCCTCCCAGGTTCAAGCGATTCTTGTGCCTCAGCCTCCCGAGTAGCTGGGATTACAGGCATGTGCCACCACACTAGGCTAATTTTTGTATTTTTAGTAGAGATGGGGTCTCATTATGTTGGCTGGGCTGTTCTTGAACTCCGGACCTCAGGTGATCCACCCACCTCGGCCTCCCAAGGTGCAGGGATTGGGGCCGGGCACAGTGGCTCACGCCTGTAATCCCAGTGACTTGGGGAAGGCTGAGGCAGGAGAATCACTTGAACCTGGGAGGCGGTAGTTGCAGTGAGCCGAGATCAGGCCACTGCACTCCAGCCTGGCAACAGAGCAAGACTCTGTTTCAAAAAATAAAAAAGTGCAAGATTACAGGGGGGAGCCACTGCACCCGGCCCTGCCTAGCTAACTTTTAAATTTTGTTTTGAGATAGTGAGAGATGAGGGTCTCACTATCTTGCCCAGGCTGGTCTTTTTGTTGTTGTTGTTGGAGACAGTCTTGCTCTGTTGCCCAGACTAGAGTGCAGTGGCACCATCTTGGCTCACACCAACTTCCGCTTCCTGGGTTCAAATGATTCTTGTGCCTCAGCCTCCTGACTAGCTGGGATTACAGTCACGCACCACTATGCCCAGCTAATTTTTTTTCTTTTGAGATGGAGTTTCACTCTGTCACCCAGGCTGGAGTGCAACGGCATGATCTCGGCTCACTGCAACCTCCACTTCTCAGGTTCAAGCGATTCTCCTGCCTCAGTCTCCCAAGTGGCTGGAATTACA